AGGCGGCCTCCCTTCAGCCTGCGTCTGGGCCCCAGTGCCTGAACCCAGGCCCGATGCAGTTGAGGCCCGGGGGATGCAGTTGCGCCTCTTTCGTCAAGGCCTGCGGCCAGATTCAGATAGTGGGCCGATTTCCCTTTGGCATTTTCGGCCTCTCTACCCAGCATGCATTGTCGGCCTCACGTTCAAGTGCCCAGGGCCTAACTAACTGAGAGGCCCTGGGATTTCCACATTTGCAGAGATTCAAGACTCGGTGCACTCCAACCAACCGGCGTGCTGCAACTGTATGGACCCCACTTCGTGAAATGTTTGCACAGAGGGCTCTTGTTGATTTGCTGGCCCGACTTCACTTAGGGCGGGCACTAGGCTTGCTGGGGCCTTAGCCCATAACATGTTCATCATGGCAAGGCCCCTTCTTGAGGGCTCAATCCTCACATTCCATTCCCCTTAGCTTCGAAAGTCCGCTGAGATGCTTACTTCGCAGGTGCCTTCCCTTTCAGCATTCTCTCATATTCTGCCACCACCTGAGGAGCTGTGTCAATCAGTTCCTCTCTGGTGAACCACCGGTCTTCTTTTGGATCCGTATGATGCCTGAATCTGACGCGATATTCTCTCTTGGGCTTAGGAGGTCTTCCTCTACCCAATGGCTTTTGAACAGGCAGATCTCTGTGATCCACAATGTCGTCGATGTCCACTTGACCATCCATGGTTGGGGGCAGCATCAATCTCCTTGAAGGGAATTGATCAGTCTCAGCGAAAGGTGCAAGCTTTGAAGCATGAAAGACAGGGTGAGTGCGTAGGTGTCCAGGGAGACGGATAACATAGGTAGGACCATCCATCGCATCCCCCACTACATCCAGGACTTCCCAAGGACCTAAATACTGAGGCATTAGTTTTCTAGAGATACCGAATTCTTATCCTAGCTCACTAGCCTTGACCCAGACACGTTCCCCTACCTGAAATGAGGACTGTCGTCGATGCTTGTTCTCAGAAGCAATCATTGCTTGCTGAGCTTTCTTGATGTGCTCGACAGCTTGCTGCAGCAACTTCTCATACTGCACACCATATTCAAGTGTGCCTGGAGTTGCGGAGGATCGGTTTTCAAGTAGGAGGAAGTCTAGAGCGGATCTAGGCTTCCATCCCAAGTGCAGCTGGTTGGGACTTACGCCGGTACTGCTGTGTACAGCGTTGTTGTACAGGCTGGCGATGAGAGGCAACTTCTCATCCCTGTCATCCTGGTTGGGCTTGATGTAATGCCTCAGCAGGTGCTGTACAACTCTGTTCATCTGCTCGGCTTGTCCGTTGGCTTCGGGATGATTCCCTGAAGTCATATGAAGTTGACTGCCCATTTGCTCAGCAGTCTTCTTCCACAGCTCACTTGTGAAACGGACATCTCTGTCACTAACGATTGTCTTTGGTAAACCAAAGTCACGCACCCAGTTGTCCTGGAACAACTTGATGACATGGTTAGTCCTTGCGGTCTCTGGCATGGCAACTAGCCTAGCGTACTTGGTGAATCAATCAATGATGACGAAAATGTGCCTCTTGCCACTCTTACTGGTCACCAGGGTGTCCATGAAATCCATGGAAACACTCTGTCTTGGACCAACGGGGATAGGTAAGGGCTTCAGCAACCCAAGCGGTGCTTGAGTTCGCGGCTTGTCCCGCTGACAGACCTGACAGGTCTCTACATACTTCTTTGCGTCATCTAACATTCCAGGCCACCAAAATCGTTGAACTAGATTAGCACTCGTCTTCTTGTAGTCGAAGTGTCCAGTTGCGTCGTGACATTCTCCTAGAAATAAACTACGCAAACTCTCACTTGATGGAACTACTAACCTTTTACACTCGGCCTTATCAAGAAAGAGTAACCCATCCACCATCACAAACTCACTTTCTGTGGCCTTGTCTTTTGCCTGAAGTTTGCGCATGATGTCCATCATGACAGGGTCTTCCTGATAGGCTCCCATCAACGATTGAGTTACTTCCTGAGGTACAACAAACTCAAAAACTAGCGCCCCTAGGTAGTCTGCTCTACGAGATAGCGCATCCGCAACCTTGTTGTACTCTCCCTTCAGATACTCAAGCTTGAAGTCATATTGATCTATGACCTCAATCCAACGCTTGAGTGCATCGGAAAAAGCCGGTTGAGTCTTGATTCATTTGAGCGTCTGATGGTCAGTTCTCAAGTAGAAGAACCGTCCCAACAGAAAGTGTCTCCAATGGACAAGTGCCTTGTAGAGAGCATAGAGTTCCCTTTCGTAGGTGGACTTTGCCAATTTCTTCGATGGCATTTTCTTGCTCATGTGCTCAATCGGTCTCAACTTCTTCCCATCCTGCTGAGCCAGCACTGCACCAATACCGTATTGGCTTGCGTCAGTGGTCACTATGAACGGCTTCTGAGGATCGGGAACCATGAGAACTTCATGATTCATGAGTGCATGCTTCAATCGCTTGAAAGCACCCTCGCACTCATCACTCCAGTCCCACAACGTGTCAAGTCGACTTAGATCTGTCAAAGGAGAGGCGACCGTAGAATAGTTCTTTACGAAGTTCCTATAGTAGCCGCACATTCCTAAGAAAGATGTGACCTCTGTGACAGTCTGAGGTCGTGGCCAGTCTCGAATAGTTGCCACCTTCGCATCTTCTGGCCTAATCCCTTCCGCGGATACTTCATGACCCAAGTATAATATCTTAGTGCGACCAAACTCACACTTCTCTAGGTTGACCTTATACTTGTGTTGTCGCAGGAGTGAAAGTACAGTCTCAACGTGCTGTGCATGCTCCTTGGCAGACTTACTAAAGATCAGAATGTCGTCAAGGTAAGCCACGACAAACTTATCTAAATGGTCATGGAAGATCCGATTCATAGCATGCTGGAATGTTCCCGGCGCATTGCAAAGACCAAAGGGCATCACTACAAACTCATACAGACCATATCGAGTTTGAAAGGCTGTCTTGTGTTGGTCCTCAGGTCTTATAGCGATCTGATGATAGCCGGATTTCAAGTCTATCTTACTATAGTACTTGCATCCCTGCACCCTATCCAGTAGGTCGTCTATGCGAGGTAGAAGCTCTGCGTTCTTCACTGTGATGGCATTGAGGCCTCTATAGTCAATGCACATCCTCAATGTACCCCCCTTCTTTGGTAGAAATAGTACTGGAGATCCGTAAGGGGAAGTACTAGGCCGGATCCATCCCTTCTCTGTCAGCTCTTTCAGTTGTCGCCGAAGTTCATCTAACTCGGCGGGAGCCATCCTATAGATCCTTCCCTTTGGGGTTTTACTCCCTGGGATGATTTCTATAGCGTGGACAACTTCCCTTTCTACAACTCCTGTAGGCTCTTCGAACAGATCAGGGAACTTAGCAACGACGTGTTCTATCTCTGGGGTGTTTTTACGGCCTCCCCTTTCTCAGAGACATACACTAGGTACATACCCTCCTCTTGGTTCTGTTTGTAATAGTTGTAGAATGCGGATGCACACAAGCAGCCATAAGTATCTATAGTCAATCTGACTGTTCTGCCATCGGGCAACTTATGTTTAAGCACCTTCTTATCCCAATCGAACTGGGGCTTAGCAACCTCAAGGTAGTACATGCCTAACAACATGTCGAATGGTAAGTCGTCGCTAACCAAGAACGAAATCTTATGATTAAGTTCTCCTCCTCCATAGGAGAAGGTACAGACTACGTCCTTGATATAGTCTGTGACTATCATGCGCTCCTTGTTGGCCAAAGTAGATGCTACATGTCTACTAAGGTGCCGTACCCGGTCATGTAGGTGCAACCTTTCCAAACAGTCGCGACTTATGTAATTCCGCATGGAGCGTATGTCTATGAAGGCACCACATTTGCGGCCTCCTACATTGACTTCCACCACGAAATGTTCCCCTCTAGGACCTTTCTTTAGTGTCACCCAAGATTCGCGAGGGTCCTTGTTTGACCACTCGCTTTCCAGATCTTCTAAGGCTTCAGACACATCTAACGTACTGAGCATAGTTTGATCTAGATGAGTCTGCGGGGTGACAAAAGAGTCATTAGCTATGGCCTTCTCATGAAGTGGGGAGGGGATCTGGCCCACTTCACCCTGAGTAGAAGCAGCTAAAACTTCCACCGGCCTCGCGTGTTTCCCGAGCTAGAAGCCTGGGAAGAAGATGCCCCCATCTTAGGAGGTATCTTCTGCGTGACCTTTGCGTTTTGGCACTTGTATTGGGTGTGTTCGTATTCACCAAAGTTTATACAAGCGCCACGCACTCGGCGGTCCCGCCACACGTCTTGATCAAGACCTGCCTTAACCCAATCAGCCACTTTGGTCTGATTGGAGGCGGCCTTCCCTTGACTCTTTGGATGGCCCTTCCCTCGGCCACCCGCCTTAGCCTTGACTACTGCGGCGAGGGTGCTACCCTCAGCGATCTCGCCGTCGTACTCTGAACCGTCCAGCAGGTCTGTGAGCTCATCAATTTCTGTTTGAGTCCCATCAGACTCAACCATCATCAACTTGGCCCCTTTCTTTTTCCATTCTTGCGGACTCTTCTTCTTCCTCGCGTCATTTTGAGTGGGTTGAGCATTCCCTAGTGTAGCCTCTAAAGTCTAAGGCTTTTCTAGACAATGTCTCAAACGAGTGGTACTCGAGGCAGGCCTCGCTAGCCAGCAAGTTCCTGAGGTTCTCTGAAAGACATCTAACAAAGCTTGTCAACAGGAACTGGTTGTTGTAGTTGATGCTGGGGACAACGATGAGACTTTCCACTGTAGTCGTAAGCTCTCTGACTGACTTGAACTTTCTTTGATCTAGTCTGTTTATCGCATCAGTGGCCATTTGTGCCTGTTGAGGATTGTGCCAGCGAGCTTCTACCATCTCAAAGAACTGGACTAACGTAATGGACTTAGCCCAGTCCACCATACGTCGTCCATACCCGGCCTTTGCAACTATACCATCTAGCCATTTGGCTGCCTTACCCTCGAGGTTAGATGCAGCAGTAACCACTTCGTCCTCTGGCAAGGTCCTCTTCGCCTTCACCCAAACCAGAATTGTTCTCAACCAAGTGTTGAGTTCTTCGTCCTTCCTCTCGCCTGAGAAGGCAAGAGGCGGTTTCATTGGGGTCTTAGGGTACCATTGACCTTGCGGCTGTCCCTGTTGAGGAACAGGTTGTTGCGGTGGTGTAGCACCCACCGCTGGACCCGAAGAAGAAGAAGCAACAGTCTGTGCAGCTGCTGCAGACGTGCCACTTGGTTGTGTGCCAGCTTGTACGGGAAAGGGGCCTGACATTGCCGTTAACGGCAACGACGACTGTGCTGCTGGTCTAAATCCTGGCCTTTGCAAAAGGTCCAAGATCTGATCTAGAGTGTGCTGCATGAAGTCCAATCTGCTGTCCACGTGCGCATGCAACGACAACATATTGTGCTTCAACACTTTTTCAGTTGGTCAGTCATGACTGACTCATCCAGCGCCTCTAGAGCAGCTTTGTCAGCCTCCAATGAATCAAGCCTGACTGTTCTATTTTTAATTTCTCTTTTTCTATCGGTTGCTTCCTTCAGTTCCCTTTCTAACTTCAAGTGGATCCTCTCGACCTCTTGGAGCTCTAAGAGCTCCCTGCCGCGTGGGGTCAACGGGCTAAACTGCGAGCCCGCCATTTGACTTGTGGACTGACTAGAACTTACTGCCCCGGAAGTACCCTGAGACATTCCCAACAGGGTCCCATTGGTCCCTGACGAGGACGTCGACGAGGATGCAAATGATGACGCAGCAGAGCTTGTGCCGTTAGCCATTGCTACTGCTTTGGCTGTGGCTGCCTGCTCTCTAGCTGCTGCGTTTGCTGCTGCTATCCCTGCTGCTAGCGCCCGGGCTCTGCGTTCGGCACGAATCCGTCGTTCGTCTTCTGGTTGTAAGGCCTGGTACACGTGCGGGACCCTAAGTGCTCCCGAACGTGTAAGTCTCACATTGTCAACTCTACCCTCATCGGTGTCTGACCCACTCATCAGTTAGGCAGACAGTATCTGCACTACAACCCCCTGTTGGAGTCCTACCGCAGCATGTGTCTGACCGGCACCTAATTTTCTAAAAATAGTTGTGTCCGGCAGGTCCCCTACTTTACCGATCAATTGGCAACATTCACAACAGATTGTCAACATAGTCTAGATGTATCTTGATTGGTTCACTTACAGCAGCATTAGATAGAACTGGCTATGGTAGTATACAACAGTCCTACTCTAATCTGTCTGTGAGGTGTTAGCAGTCTGTCCACCAACTAATCAAAGATAAAAGAAGACCATGTTGCAGATGTATGAATAGTGGGTATGGTTGAGTTTCCAGTTGAGCATCAATTAGAACCTACCCTCCCCTCAGTCCAACATACCGAACAGCATCATTGAGCAGCGGTGTCTTCGTGTGCAACGTCGGCCCACCCCTGTGCCCAAGTCGTTACCGAGCAAGCAGCGAGTCCACTCTTATTCACCCTCGTACGGAACGAGCCTTACACCCGGTTGATCTGGCTGATCAGGAGGAATTTTGAGAGCGCCCCCATCTCTTTAGGAATTATTTAACGTCGCAGTCAGGACGACAATCACAGCCAGAATCGATCCGAGTCCCCAACCAGAAATGTTTATAGAGCGTCTCATAAAAGGCTGGCACACCCGGCAGGACTTCTACTCAGCGCAGCAAGTGCCAAAATGGACAGCAGCCATTGCATGCGTGACCTATTCTCATTGGGTTGGCATGGTGACCGTGACCCAATGCTTCGACCAGGGCCCTTCACAGGCACCGCCCTTTCTCCTTCCAGATGCTTCCGGGAAGATTGTTGTCTCTCAAGGTAGCGTGCTCACGACACCTCACCAAAAGAGAGGACTCTCAAGTTGGACTCACTTCCTCACGGTAAGAAGAGATTGAGAGAGTAGATAAGGTAAGGGAACAACGTACCTGGAGATAGCTGCCCCCAACCACAGATTTCTCACCAATTGAGCTGAGTGTGCATTTGATGACCGGTCTTGGCCTCGGTACCACCCACAACGCAATGCAGTGCCACCTCAGCCGAATGCCACATCAGCATGCTCTCATCACCAATCATACATTCCGCCTGTCATCACGGAAATATATGCCGTCTTTAGCCTTCCGGCGCACACCTCGCTACCCAGGCCGTGCGCCTATTCTGGCCTGACGTCACAAGAACCAACTGCGAAGAAGCATCGTCAACGCACCAAGTCTGTATAACGCCAGCGCACCAAGGTAAGTAGCCAATCTAACCAGCTCCGATACCAAATTGCAAGGAACATGAATATGGACGAAGCACAGAAATCCAGATTGCAAAATCACACTGAAGTCCAAGTAGTCAAAGCAAGAGCAGATAGCACAATGGAACCGAGTAACCATCCATTTG